TGCCTCGGAAACATTGAACTCTTCCGAGTGCCCTCGAACAGTGGCGAAGAAGTCGAGAGCTGTGCTTGACACTGACGTGCGCGAGGTTCTGACAGCAGCTGCAGTGAAAACGTCGTCGGTGTCATCCGATTCTCGTGCCGTGCCCACCCAAGAGATCAAGTGCAAAAAGAGCGGCAAAATGTTCCAGGTTGGTCTCGACATTTTTCAGGGAGGCTACGCGACGCATATCATAACAATTCTTATTTGAGGATCAGTTTATCAGTCTACCCTGGAAGGTGCATGGTGGAAGGAGCTGTTGCTCTTTGGACGTTCCCATTCGGTCTTTCGGTCGTTCGTGAGCGTCAGCATCGAATCACTCAAGCTTTGGCAACGTTGCATAAACGAACGTTGTCGGCCGAATTTTGCAAGCGTGGTCGGTGGTGGGAAGCGAATTTCTCGGATTCTTTTCGCACTGCTCTCGACTTGTGAATCGAACATGTGTGCGTATAGTTCGCGGATAGAAGAGTTTAGAGACCTTTGATGCCGTAGCGTTATTTACGTCAAGGCGATGCGAGACAGACGACATTTGTTTTGAATGAACTTCGCTGCGCGACAGCCTGGCTTCCACATCTGATGTAATATGTAGACGAGAGTGCCTTTTGAGGAATATTCTGGAACGTTGCAAACAGAGCCGGTACAATGGGCGTCACACGACGATTTCTATGAGATCGGTTTTGGTTTTCGTATTGGACTCGGGCAGCGGTGTCGACCTGATACGCAATATACGGACAGCTCTGATTGTAGTCTCTTCGGCTTTCGGGCTGCCGGTCGTTTTTTCTGCTCTCTTAATTTCGCTCGATATGAAATCGGAAATCAGTTCCTTTCCCTTATCGCCAGCCCTCCGACGAAGCGATTCTGAGCTCCGCCCGGTCGGATAAGGAGGGATCAGTCATTCCCAAGATTAATGTGGACGAAAGTTAACGTCATGATCGGATCTATATGTTTGACTTGGGAGTGCCTGGCTGAATTAAGGAACTGGGGTGGTGAAGTTTCGAGCCTTTTAAAGGAGATCACTCCGTAGAGCTCTGAATGAGATCTACGTCGCTGAGAAAAATTCATCTCAGGAGCGGGTACGGTATGAAAAGAGTAGGTAAGCGCGAAAAAGTCGAGTTTTGAACACGGAATTCCACAGAACGTGTCGGCTGGCCTTCGCCGTGTTTACGTGTGCAGAGCTGCAGTTCGTTCGCGGCGCTGTTGTTCTTGCTGGAATCGTCGTCCGGACTATGACGTCATCTTCTCCGCGTGGCTCGGCAACAGTTTTTGCCATTACCAACACGGTTGGCTCTAACACGACTCGGCTATCTTGCCGACAGCTCGGGCGGAAGACTGCGAAAGTGAATTTCACTGTCTGGAATGGTCCGAGGTTCTTCTCCCGTTTAGAAGCTTGTGGAAAAATATTATTCGAAGAGCTCGCTCCGGGTCTCTACGCGACGATTCCTGGTCATCTCAGGGCTCAGTTTTCCCTCGGGAATATTCATCAGGCATTTGCAGTTCTATTCGAGTTGGAGTGGATAACCGACTGAGATAGTTTCAAGCGCATTGACTTCCTCCGTCTGACATTCGTCGCATCCAATAATCGTCCAGTGGGTTTACGCTGTGACATCCCCTGTCTGCTTCCGAGTCTCATTCTCCATCCCCGTAAATGTTGACACCTATGCCCGCAAGTCCTACCGGGTCGATTGGATATGGATACTCTTTGTCGGAAGAACCCTCGATCGCTTGATTTATGACGGACCGCTGCGCCGGCGCCGTTCGGGACTGGTTGGAGAAGTTCCTGAGCGATGTTCCAGGCTATCAGGATCAAAAAATACGGCCTGTCGCGGATGCAGAGTTCAGGAATAGAGTGAACGAAAAAAATCGATCAACTCCGGAAACATACTGAAGAAAACCTTAGACGGTAGAGTGATTCCGAGAAGGGCTCCTTCGAATGCTTCGACATGCAGCCCTGCTCGTTCTTAAAATCACCTCATTTGACGTCTCCTGTCTTTCCTTTAGACCGCAGTTAACTCTGAGAAGCGACAATATATTTTCAAATGTTCACTAGGCATGTCTACAAGAGACATCAAGCCAAGATTTATCTCAATCTGATCAGACTGAGGCTTTCAACCGAAAACAACACAAATACCACATGCCTCGTGGGCGACAAAATAAATGGAATGTTCGAACATTCATGCGCTCCCTCAGATCCTGAGATGTTCATTTCGAGCCGGGGCGGAATCCCAATTCGAACGTTCGATTGTTTCGAGGCATTTCCATACGCTCTACAGGACCAGCCTTGAGCACGCAGGGCTCTCAAACTGTTCTGGCGAAATCAGATTTGCATCTTCGACGTTCGAATTCATTCGACCCTGAATTGATTCCGCGTCGACGCTTGAACTCATTATATTCGAGGCGCTGAGAATGTTCGAGCATAGAGTCTCATTGAAACCACTTGATACTGACTGAGTGAAAATTCAGTTTCGCCGAGCCCGAGTATGGATTCCAATCGATATCGCAGAGCGAGTCTGAATCGCATGAATTACGGATGTGTCCCCTGCTCAGCATCGCCTCCGATTTCAACAGGAGCTGGAAGTCGCCGGAAGGCCCAAGATCGCTTTTGAGTTGGCTAGAATCCAGCAACGGGAATGTCCTCTGAGATTCACCTTGGTTCGGAGTCTCTGGCGCAACGATACATCATGAGTTTTGCGACAGAAGCGTCGTGCGTCCAATGCGCATGGACCGAACTTCTCATTGTTGATCCGAACGCGCGACTCCGACAGCGGTCGAGTGACTCGTTCTGCACGCCGACTCGCGGTTAGGGAAATTCGGACGTTATAGAGCATCGATAATCACGTCCGAACTTTATGACTTCAGACTTATGAGGGCCATTCATGAAAATTCCTTGGTAGGTCCACCGAATCAGCAGTGGCTCTTGAGTTCTTGCGCGAAAATCACCGGCCATCTAGATTAATTTTTTTCAATGATGCGTGGGTTTGTTGAAGAACTTCCGGGGAATCGGACCCGAGATCTGACGCGGAGTCTTCCGCGGGATCGAGTTTCCATTCGACTCTGAACAGCTCTACAGAAAAATATGTTTGGATTATTTTTCCTCTAAATGACATCGCCGAGCGTAGCATCCCAACGAGCTTCCTGGACGAGACTGTGCCGTTGGAAAAACTGATTTTGATTCTATTTACTTTGGACGAAACTATTTCACCCCTACATCATGCTGACTTTCTTGAAACAACCGATCGAAGTGATCGCAAGACATAAGTTATAGACCTATAAAACTGAGAGAACCTCCCTCGCCGCCACGGCCGCTTCCGCTCGAAACTGCTTGGATCGCATCGCAATCATCCGCTCTGTTTAGTTTCGGTTTAGAGTCAGATATCTAGCGATTCGAGACAGCCTGCGTTGTTCGAACGCAAAGAACGCTTAGTTTTTTTCTCGCCCTCATGGCGATTTTTCCCGTTGAATATTCTTGTCGCGTGAGTTGTGTCAGCTAGAGTCGCTCACACTTGGGTTTCCGAGAACCAATTCAGTGTTTGGAATCACCACGCTGCTGTCACTCGCGCAGACATCCCCGTTTTCCTCTGCGGCCGCCGCAGTGACGGACTTGTTTAGATTTCCGAAAGAGCTTTGGACTCGAATCACGATGAGCGCTCAGCGGTCGTGTTTTAACTTTGAGGCACTGAAAACAAGTTTCGACGTTCCGTCACGTTCTTTGCGGCCACGCTGTGTTTATCGCGATGCTACACTCGACTCGCGGACAGAAGAACGATCTCGTTTTCCCGCTCCGTTCAGACAGATCGGGCGTGTATATCGCAGGACGGAGAGATCACTCGAGACCTGACGACACGTCTACCGGAGAGAGACCAGAAAGAGAGGGAGAGAGAAGCGGAGAACCTACGAGATGGAGACCAGAGCCAAAGATGACAGTTCAAAGTTGAAACCGAGAACTTTACTCGGAAACCCTCGACCGGCAGAAAAGGGGCAGACGGACTATTCCCTGATTGGGGACACTGAGAACCAGGGATGGAGGCTCGTGGAAAAAAATCATCGGAAGAGACGAAAGGTACATCGCTGCGTTCTTAGTCCATGGCGGTCCAGGTTTTTCGGCATGGGATCACAGATCTCATCAGATCTCCCGATCTGATCAGGTCTGAAAACTTGTCGGGGGCGACACCGCCTCCACCGAAACCCGCTAGTCCACGGGTACAGTCGAAGCTTCACGGAGCGAACGATCGCTTGGGATTTGTGATCGGACAGGGTGAGTGAGGCGGAGCGTTTGAGATTAGAGAGAGCCTCGGCAATCCAAAGCGGCCGACGTCAACAACAACGCCCACTTATCCGCCAGCTAACGGCTGTAGGATATGGCTGCCTAGCTTTGGTCGCTACCCTAGCTAACTTGTCGGATTCGCGATGGTTCGCGACGGCAACAGCGGCCACGATGGGCAAGAGAGAAATGTGAAAGGGAGAGAGAGACACGCGGAGAGGATTCAATGTTAAGGGAGTCTACGACGAGCTCTTCTACGACTGGTGGCGGTAGAGCTTGTTTCACACCAACAATCACGCTTACCCGCACGCATCTCATCTCACTCAGAGACTCGAACAGAGATCCTCTGGCGAAGTCCCTGCTCCCGAACACACGACCCGTCCAGGAGGCTCCCCAATGAAGACTCCGACTGGGCTGTCAACTGTTTGTGTGTGGTCCCTCGTCGGTGTTCCGCGCTAGGAGCGGTCGTGCTTCTCATCCCGATCCCCAGGAGGACTGTCAAGTGCTTCGAGGGTTCAGTCTCCAGAGGACGTCGTTCCCGGAGTCCAAGAGTTTCTTGGTGTCCCGCGAAGGGAGAGGGTCCTCCCTCACGAAGTCTGCGGTGGACCCCAGGAGTTGTGACCCTTTGGAGAGTCTTGTGTTAGAGTCGGAGCTCCGGGTGCTCCCGCCCCCAGTGACTTGAAGCCCTCTCGGAGCTCGCGGAAAAATGATCACGAAAATGCGGAGACGTATGCCGTCGCCGTCGAGCACTGCCGGATCTCGATGTGATGAAAACCTTGTGGCGGTCCTGGACGAGATCGCTTTGGGACAACCCTTGCTCACCGATGATTTGAAGCCCGCTCTCTTCGAAGATGAGGTATGCTTGGAGATCCACGGTGGTGGCTTTCTCGCGTCGTCGTACCTGACAAGCGAAACAAACGACTGTCAGGAAGTGTTGATGTCTGCTCCTCGTTCGCCTCGGCTTTCGTTCTCTGGATCCGAGTCGTCTCAGCAGACGCCCTGGATCTATTATTCATAACGGAAGGTCAGAGCTAGATTGATCAATTCCGACTTGGCTTATCTCGGCCGCCGACTTCCCCGCCCTCCACTGGGAATAACACATCTTGATCATTCCTTGCCAGATACTTCATTCCGCTCGCTTCCACTGAGGTACTCGACTGATTGGCGATTTTTTTTTGGCGAAAGCGTCGACGCAACGGATGATCTTCAAGTGATTAGGATCTACTGATCATCTGCCTATCGGCTCGCCTGCATCTTCTCAAGCTCTATCCTCCCCTTGCCTCTCTCTTGCTCGGTCTCACATAAGCCAGTCGAGGGTTATTGTCATTGTTCCTCGAGGATTGACATATTTATGTGTCTTTCGGTCGGAAATACGACCGACTCGACTTCAAGGAAAATCCAGAATGCTTGTACCTTCGAAGACTCTGCCTCGTTCTATCTATCGGTTCTGGTTCAAGTTGTTGCTTGAGGCTCACTCCCGTCTCTCACGATGAACATCGGGATGAGCCTTGGAAATTCGGTAATTCCCTCTCGATTAGATCTCGTCACATTTCTGGCGTGGTCGATGGCCTCGAACTCGATCCAGCCTCTCGGGAAGCCATGGAGAATATCCCTCACCAGAAATCGACAATTCGGGTGACATCCCGATGGGTGTAACGGTCGAAATTAGAAAGGAGAGGAGCCGATTCCGGACTCGCATGAGTTTCGATTCTACTCCCGCCACCTGTCATGACGGTATATGATGGTTGTACAAGGCCGATATCCGCTGCTTTGGGTTCGAGCTCCGATCGGGAAAAAATTGAAGAGCTGAAGTCACGGAGTTTCGTCCCTTCGAGCACTCTCGGGAATCTGTACACGGAAAGAAAAATGTGGAGGAGCTATGTAGTCGACGGCAGAGCACTCACCTCGTCTGAGACAGAAATATTCCCCCGTCGGTTTTGAACTATGACGATTGTTTTAGATATCTCGGATTAGCGTTGACGTTCAGGGAGTGAGCACCGCGTAATACCGTTTCTCTCTCGACCGCAATACACCCATGGATTTCCAATGTTGGAAGTTCGGGATTTCCGCCTCAATCCTCTTCAGTGCGTATCGTCACGGTCATACCTCAGTGAGCGAGGGGCGTACTTTCCGGGATATCAAGCAGAATCAACCATTCGAGGGGTAGAACAAACATAAGCTCTCCGGACAGGTCTTCTCGTTCGTCGTTCAATTCTCGATGTTCGTATCCGTCGGTTATTGCTGCTGCTTCGGCGGAGATCTCCGGGGTTTCAGTGGAAGCCTGCCGGACCCGCGTTTCCCGTTAACGCCGGAGCCACGAGTGAGGTTGCCAAATCGATGGTCTTCTGTTTTATTATTCGATTCTGTTCGGAGAAACCATTCTGGGGAGCTCGCTCCGCGGGCTTGTCGTACGGAGACAGAACGCTCGATAATTGGCAAGATTTGACCAATCTTATCAATTGATCCCCCTCGACTTTCCCGGAGCCGACCACCGAATCAAAAGCAATCGCCTATACTCCAGCGAAACCGCTTAGAAAATCACAACAGCAGCGACGTACGGACTTAAAGAATCACTCACTTTCTCTCGCGAAATTTTCGATCACTCGCCTGCTGGCCGGCCGGCTCGCTCTCATGGACTCGTTAAGACTGAATCAAATCACGCTGTAAATGGAGGAATTTCCACGAACACAAGCGTCATCAACGGCTTTCGGCAAATTCTCGGTGTTTTCTGACGGTGGTGGTTCCCTCTTGTCAGCGTCGCCGTCGTTGTTGTTGTTGTTGCTGTTGTTGTTGATCCCAAGAGACCCGTGCTCGCAGTTCTCCGTATTGTGCTCTTGATTGTGATCATGACGCTAAACTTTCGGGGGATACTGCTACCGCTGTCGCTCTTAACCGCTCATTGCTAGAGAGGTTGAAAGAGGAACAAGTGAAATGCCATCGACATCGAGCTCGTTTTCGCCCAAAGATCTATATACGGTCGGCAGCCCAACGTCCTCGGTTGTCGATACCACTTCTGCGGACGCGGTCATATCGCAACAACTGCAACGTCACTATTGGTATCAATGGTGCTGGTATTGGAATCAGGCGACTCGCGTTCTCTCGCAGCGGCAGGTGGGTTCTTATTCGCCGAGGTATTTTTCGGACGCCTTCCGGAAATTGTAGTACGGATGAGTTCGAAACAAGGTTTTTCCCATCGTTGGTTGGTGTCTCTGTGGCGCTCCGACTCCCTTGAGGTATCACCCAAACAATCTGAATTCGCACTCGAAGAAATATCCCATGGAGTCAGCCTCGAAGTCGGCGGTTTTTGCGAAAATTATTTCCGCAGACACTCGGAGAGGAATGCTATGGGCTATGGGTGACTGAAATTTCCGCTGCAAGCTCATTTTGCGGAGAGTCCGTGGCGGCAGGAAGGAATTCCCTCTGTACGTGAATAGCCAATTTCTCCGCATTTTTTCGCCAAAACCGCCGCCCTAAGATCCCAATCGACGTTCCCCTTTGGAAACCGGTTTCGGTTTTTGCAGGGAATCTCTGAGGAAATGGTGCGCGGAATGTTCTTCCGTTATTCGGTCGGTCGGTCGGTCCATCCATCCATTCCTGGCGTCCGGAAAAGGGTCCGTAGAAGTTGTGCGGCGTTTGTGAGGCCCGTGTGCCCACCCTTCTAGTGAGCTGCCTCACTCGTTCGCTCGCTCGCTGAGTGACGATTCAGCTTTAGTTCTAAGCTAGCCGACAGCAAATGCCGGCCAAACATTACCTACCCTGCTATCGAGGCAAACTCACTTACCCTCGTCGGTCGTTTGCTTATCTGACGTTACCGAACCGTTTGCTCGACCGAGCGTAAGTCCGTACGTCTCTCTGCCCGCCCGTCCACCCGCCTGCTGGATGATTGACCGAGAACGAGAGAAAAGGCGAGTGTGAATGTGTTGTTTTGGCGTGGTCGTTCGGTTCTACAGGTTCAATAGCTCAGTTTTCGGTCACGATACGCTTATCGACAGGGGAAATACGTCGATCCACAAGAAAATACGCGATCGAACATAGTGTTGTTTCCATCAGTCGACAAGCCTCAATCTCTTGGATGCCTTCCGACAAGAGTTGGCCGATAGTTTATTCCACGGAGGTATTTCCGAAAGCATGAACCCCAAATTCCGATAATCCAGAATCAGACGGAAAGCGAGCGCGATGAAAATATTCCTCTGGACGAATCCAGCATGCGCTCCGATTTTACCGCACCGATTCGAAATGAATCGGCCAAACATCGGTTTCGAGTTCCATCAAAATGGCAACGAGCTGTTTGTATATTCGTCTTCTCTTAGTGAGCGTGTTTTCAAATGTGAGAGTGCTCCGAGCCGCATTCGATCCTCTTCACACTCGTCCCGGACTGATTCGATGGCTAGCCGGAGAGTCATGTCCGGATCCAAAACAGAGCTCAGAGTCGACGATTTGCTCCTCTCGTCAGTCACACACTTTGGAGAGCTCGACTCTCAAGGCGCGGCGACACGACCTACCACAACGAGCTGCGTCGGATAGTTGCGAAGGATCCCGAGGTTGATTGTCGTATTCGCCGAGGAATGCCTAATCCTGCGATACTGTTAATCGAGTCCCATCGTGTACGCTCGGTTCTTTGTTTGCACGAGGACTCAATCACGGAGCAAATCAGGGCCACCAATTAGCGAGATTCCCAGTTCATTCCATGATCGGAGCATGATTCGGAAATTCAATGAACATTGCCACGCGACGTCCGGTGAATCGAAGCATGATGTTGAACGGACAGGACGTTCTCGTCCTCAAATAAGTGCCGCTCTGTTTTCTCCGCAAAGCACCAGATGAAGAGTCAATTCCCTGCGGGAAGGAAAGCGACCGGGTGGCTCAAGTTGTAGAGTAGAGCGACCGAGTCCGAAGAGAGGTGACAGGAATTCTGCAGGGAGACTGCAGATGAATTTTGAGGGAACGAGGACATCAGGTATCGACTTCCTTTCAGTATCCGGGCAATTTCACGAACTCCACCTGCACGACATCGACCCTTACCCCGACGACCCTTCGAACGATTGGAGATGCTTTCGAATATTCCGCCGACGTTCCGCCACCCTTGGAACACCAACTCGCCGCAGGTTTCGCCCCGCCCACTGTCATTGTCGCGCAACAATTCAACAACAATACTCAAAGGATGCAAGATGATGTCGAGGTGAGTTATTTAGCACCCGTGGGGAGAACAGCTCGTATTTTCCTGACGAGGAAAAAACGTATGATTCCTACGCAATTCCCTCAAACGAATGCAACAATTTAAACTTCAATCCTCGCAAACAGATCAAGCGCGAAATCACCGAAGAAGACGCTGGCTACGTACCGACGCCCTGGAATTCGGATCCGGTGAACCAGCAGAACGTCGACATGTCTGTATATCAGACGTCGTTGCCGTACACGACTGCATCGGACGTCAGACCACAAATCACGGCGACCCCCAGCCCACGCAGGCGAAACCAGACGAACTCTCCACCTCAGCGAGAAACCCCAACTAAACGCCGTATCAAGGAAGAAGGGCCCGCAGCGGACGAAGACGAAATCCGCAAACGACAACGTCGCGAACGCAACAAATTGGCAGCTGCTCGATGCAGGTCAGAATTATTCCTCGAAGTTTTCCGTCCTCGCTCTCCACATACATGCACAAACGCAGGGATCGAAAAGTTCCTCACGAAGACATACGTCCTTTCAGACAACGTCGCGTTGATCAAACGAATGGTTTACAAAACGAAGTTGACCTTCTCGAGGATCGTCAGAAAGAACTCCGAAACCAATACGAAGAACTCCAGAAGCAGAAGAAACGACTTCAGATTTCGCTTGATCAACACAGCTGCGTGCATAACGACGTCTCGAGATCCGCGTCCGTGCCGGTCACCTCTCAATCCTCAGTACATGCACCGATGGGTTCCGTCGTCACAGGGCTTCCGAATATCTCACTGAGTCAGACTAGCGTTTCGAGTCCGAGTCAAGTGAACGTGATCGTGCGCCGAGACTCACTCGATTCGCGTCTGGCAGAAATCGTACCCACTACTGTCGCGGCTATGCCACAGCAGACTGGTAAGAGAGCTATCCCGTCAATTTCGTGAGCCGCTGACCCAGCGGCTCAGAGTTCAGTTCTCCCTGAAGCCGCGTTTCAAGTTTCATGAGAATACTAAATAAATAAGTAAAGAATACTAAATACATAACTGGAATTATCCGCAGAAAAACGCCCACGGCCATCGACACTGCCCATGAGCATGTTCGAACAGACTGGAGTCCCCATACAGACACCGTCAGCAGGTAAGATTCCTCACAAATCCAATCGGATAGGATAGGAAAGAGGAAGACCATATATTGTCATTCGTATGAATACATTCCTCGTGAGTGGAATCCTCGCGTTTGTCCTCTAGCTCTAAAACCCCTAATCTCTCCTCCGCAGTGTTGTATAGTTTCGAAGGTCTGGTCGAAGGCACAGGGCTGACCCCAGGTTTGACCCCGCTCGGATTCTCACCTACTTGTACCCTACAGGTGAATATGCCGCTAGAGAAAAAAATCGCGATCGAGACCGCCGATCGTCTTATCTGTCCATAAGGAAGGAATACGTAATCAAATGGTTCCTCCATCATGACAGCTTCTGAATGCTCCTTTGTAACTTGCAGCAACGCAACTCAAACGGCGATGTTTCCACCCCGGACACAACCCCACGCAAGCTCGTCACACTGTAAAATCCGCTGAGCTCCTCTTGAAGAGCACACAAGATCTCAAGAATAGCTCATTAGACTCCTCCAAGTCGCTCATGGACTCTACGTCGATTGGGGGGTTTGGAGGAGGCTTCTTGAGTCGGACTAAACTTAGTGCTGAGTCGGCGATTGGGGAGACCAAAATGTGCAGAAACGAAAACAATCAAGGCATTATATAGGAGTAAGAATGATGGTTCCCTCTGACGAACAGTTCCACCGAACAATAAGTACCGTGGAAAAGTCCGAGAAAAATAGTAGCAGGAATTCAGGGATGAGTTTCGAAAACTCTGATATTCTTAGAGCAGAGTCCCCCGTCCCTGAGTGAGTCCTCCTCGATCTGACTCCAGGATATACCCGCGTAGAAGTGCAACACGCCCAGATTTCCTGCTGAGAAAGGGAAGAATAATATATATAGAAAATTGAAAGGATGTGCATATGCAGTTGTCGATAACGCTCTCAATCGGATCCTGCTACGCGGAGGTTCCGAATACAGTGCCGATTCGTATCCTGACATTCTGACGCGACTCCGTTTCGGATTCTCGGTGATATAAATGAATGGAAAACAGCTGATTCTGCGGATTCTAGATAATTCCCAACTGTCGCAACAAGTCGGCATTACAGCTCCGCCCATTTCTTAGGGACTCACCATCATACGCCTTTCACTGTATATAAGGCCTTGCTATGGTAGCGTAATCTGACGCATCGGCGAGTGCGCGGCGTGGAAAGCCTACTACCAGGTACAAAAAACTTCTATGGTTTCATGGAAAACATCGATACTGAGCGAATAGTCATAGGGAAGGGCATCGCTTCGTGCGTCCAGCGATAGATTCAGAGACCATTATAGAGTATGAGGAATATCAATCATGAAAATCGAAGATTATTGATCGACGACGTCGAGAAAAGTCTCAGCTCCGAATGATTGAGAGGACTGACAGAAGGAACAAGATCGACGGGCCGCAGAAGCCTCCGAGCTCTAGCTGATGTTCGTTTCCTCCCATTGTTTTAATATCTTCGAAAATCGCATACTGCTTTGTGTTCCAAGATTCCTCTCCAATGAACTATAATTAATTTATCGCGCTCTCGGATGCTAGTTTGTACCTCGAATCGACATTTCTACCGCTTGAACGTGTTTTTCTGTACGTCTATGCGACCATTTCATCACTCACCGATTCCCGTCATGATTATCATTTGCAGATATTAGATAAGCTCGACGTTCGAAGCCAATCAGAGAAGGAGGACTGCCAGTTGATCGCAGATTCTAGTCCGTTTTCGTTCTGCGGGCAGAACCGTCTCTACTTCGACTGCTCGAGATGGCGTTCTCGAGGAGCAAGAGCAGAATCCCGGGAGCGCTCACCCTGGGACTGTAGAAACAAAGATATGAAGAGCGAGACAAACCGAAACACACACACCCAAACCAATGTTGAATGCCAATTGTCTTTACGACATTCGTTTAAGAATGCTTGTTTTCCGTTTTTGGTTCTTAGATCATTGCCTGAGAGTTTTTTTTATCCGATCGCCATTCATTCCCATTCGTTCCGTATGACAGACATTCTTCGCAAATGAGTTTTAGCACATTTATCACCGATATTTTATTTATCGGATTCGACTCCGCTCTGAATGAGACGTGTCGTTTCGCCGAGTCCGAATGTTTATAATCGATGCCACCAGGGAAGCCGTGAAGGGACTCGTTGCACACTTCATCATGATGCAGGAGAAGAATTTATATGCAATGTTCTGTCTATCTACATGACAAGGCGAATATTAAGGTATAACAAGCAACAATTCAAAGCGCATAGAACTTCGGTGGCTTAACGAGTGATTTATCTCCGAAATTTCGAACTCGGCGATGTCAGCTGCCTGACCAATGGATGGGGGAAGGCTCGCCGGCATCGCTTGAGATCAGGAATTCGCGGACTCCACGTCCGAATTTATTTATAAATATATACATATATTTATATATGAATACTTAAATTTCGTATAGGTCAGAGCTACATATATCGTGTTGGCTGAGAAGGGAATTCTCTGCTGGTGGAACATTGTAACTTTATCATATGATATGATTCTACAAATATATATTTAACATAATAAAAACTCCAAAAAGATGGAAGATGCCTCATCCTTGACTCCGAGAAGGGACGTGGGCTCCTCGATCCGCCATATACGCAGTTTTTTGGAGGGCAATCTTCTACCAATTTCCCTAATCCCACGCACCCAGCTACAGACAAGCTCGACACGCAAACACATCTCCCATCTCGTCGGTGAGGCGTTCGAGCCTGAACTTGAAGTTTTTGGTGCAATGCCATGGAGATCGCTGCAATCTTCTCAAAATCCGCGGGGGACGGTCTACGTCTATGGGTATCAAACCCGGCTACCGAATGCTATTTCACTTACGGCAGAGAACAGCTGTCTGACTCTCAAACCTGTCAGACGAGCCCAATCCCAGTGATTCCGGAAAGTCGGTACGAATTATGCGGGAGGTTTGATATTCCTCTGACGACGATTGAACCTCGTGGACGGTCACAAGGACGGAATCACCCTGGATCCGAACCCGGGTAACAAGACGCGAGTCGTATAGCGAGGGAATCACGCGCGTATAAACATGGGCTTCAGCTCGAGAGATTGGGTAATTGGTCTGGAAGGATTAGTTCGAGCGAGACCGAGGTCGGCAAGTGGTTCGAGAAGAGCCGTGAATATCCCCGGCTAATAGCATGTCGTCTGGAGCTCACAGTGAATGCTCGCAGTGTCGTCACCCGCCGCCGGGACTCAATCTCAGAGTGGCTGAGGTTATCGTCGGACACACATATCGATTTTGGACAGTCAAGAAGGTATAATCCGGATCATGCTCTACTCCCGCATAAGACCCGCGGTCCAGCTGGCCGGTAACTCAACATAATGTACCGAGTACTGAGACGAGCCGCTCGATGCAAACAATTTGACCCGCTCGGGATAAGTTTTAATCTTGGGTCTTATGAGAGGATGAGAGGATCGGAAAAGCTCTCGCTTCCAAAGTCTGCTCTCCACGAATCCTGCTTGGCTCAAACCCGAACCGATAGCCGGCGAAGTACGACGACCGCCCGAACTCCCGGAGAGTGCCAATATCCTTTAGTCAGTCTGAGTTTGGACCGAGCATCGACGGAATATCAACGGAAGGATCTGCAGTAGTCGACATTTGGAACGAAAACGTTTCCCCATGGCGTGATCCAGGATGAGCCATGCCCCTATCAGTCCCTCGAAGTCTCCGTCAATTCCGAAAGGAGTCAGTGACCACAGTGACCCTTCCTAGAAGAGGATAAATTCTCATGCCGAAGAGATATGTCGAGAGTTTTCCTACAAGGTGGGATAGAGAGGGAGAAGAAAACTCGACGGAACTTCTTTCCCTCGAGGAGTGGCATCTACGAAGTCAATTCGCCGAGCAAGGACATTCCGTTCGAGCTTTACACCTTCATCGATAATAAACTCTTTCAGGTGAGGTTTTTTCGATAAATTCTTTTGCGCATCCGAGGAACCCCCGCCCCTTCTCGGAAGCATTCTCCCGAGGAACCTGCGTGCGCTATACAAAAATATGGGATCCGGTACCTAGCAAATCTCCCCTTGTATTCGAGACTTCCGGTGATCCCGTGGTCCGAATTTAGTGTTTCTAAGCCGAAGATTTCGTTTCTTCGAGTAGATCGCGCAAAGCGCTATAAGGCGCTCGCTAGGATACTCGAAATACTTAGTTTCCTGATTCACCCATTTCGAATCATGAAGCCGATGACTGGGCCGGAAAGCTCACCCTGTGGGAACATGAAGGGGTTTTCTCCCGAGGAAGAGTATGACCGATAACTTCTTGCAGCGACTTTGCAGATCAGTCGACACAGCCTCGTTCAGATATCGTGGCCCGAAGTTGAAAATCTCATCGGGAGTGACAGCGTTGCTCATGTCATTCCTCTCTGCTACAAACTTCAGAGGTGAATTTCTACGTCATAATGTCATACGTCATAGATCATATCAAGCCAAGGTTCGACTTGATACGAGAAGATGCATCGGAATGGAATGCGGGAGCTGATTACTTCCGCAGGTTCCTCACGGTGGCGGGAGAAGGAGACGTACGGGACAAGCTAGTGATCCATCACCGGGGTCGAATTCGAGTCGTAGAAGACTTCTCCGTCGACCTCATTATAAGGTGAACGAAGAAATTCATTTTACGCGCGAACTAGAAACATGAATTCCGCGGGGGAAATTGATCCTCCCGAGAGAGGAATGCGACCAGCGTGCAAAGTCAGACACCGGATTTCGAGCGAAAGGTTCAAAGATGCCAAGTGCTCTTCGTGGTCTCGTAACTCGCGGTTCTGCAGTCGTACCCTGATGTAGCGATGTTCTTGAACGATATCTCACCTCGGAGAGTCTCGAACCTTGAGGAGCGAATGATGCACCCTGAGGGAACTCCAATCAAAGCCGTAATATTCATGGCGTCGACATCAGATTGGGAACAGTAATACGTCGTCACGTCTATGTCTCGATCCTTGGGGGCTCATGGGATTTTTCGAACGGGAAATTCTTGAGATACATATCTCGAGATTTTACGAGGTCCATCAAGAATCTCTAAGACGTCTCGATGAGTGAGAGTAGCTCACCGAAGCTCAACGGGAATGTTCCGCCTTCGGGGACGACGAGCGAAGGGATTGACGAAGGGAAAAGATCAGGGAACCGAATGCCGTGTCCCATACTGGGGAAGGGGGCCGGGTTCCTCCTTAATTCGCTCATGACTCTTGTCACATTGGTAGTATCACATCAACGATTCAGGACGAGGATCGACCCCAATAGATTGAACGAATTCATGGGTGCGAGTTTTCTGTCATAGCTCATAACTCCCAGAGACTGTTCTAGATCATCATAAGCGACGATTGAGCAATGTTCCAGGAATCTCGTGATATCTCGTTGTGGACGGATTTTCCGGATAGAGCCGACGAAGAAAATCCCACTTGTCGAATTAAAGATGAAAATCCCGAAGGATATATTCAAGGTATGTCTAACGTCCACGAGAAGCCCTCCATTGTCATGCTTGCTTTCAACCATCTTCTGCTGAACTAATAGATGAAGGATGGATCTCGAGACGATCAAGACGATATACTCTCCGAATATTCGATCCGGGATCTCCATCTGCCTGTCACCTCTTTTGCTCAATGATTCCGTTGCCCGACGTAGGTTTACGACGTCTTCGATGATGTCTCGGCAGTTCTTGGTAAAACAGACGATCATGGAAGTCCAATGCTCGTGTTCACGAAGGAAAAGAAAACTTTGATCGATGAGAGATCTCTGAGAGAGCTGGTGAGTCTTTTAGGAATGTAATGCCGGAGAGCAGCTCCTTGCCTCAATGATCTGGCTCACTGCTATTTCGACGTAATCCTCACCGGGGACTCCAAAACTCCCTACATAACACCCAAACTGACTGGCTCTTCCCAGATTCGCGAAAGCGAAGGACGCTCCACAATATATTATGGACAGCACCTTTACTTGCGGAAAAATCGCATCACCTGTTTCTCTATCAAGAATGAGGAGCCTCATATCCACGAGGTCGGTCACATATCTGTCACTTATTCACGGTGAGGATACGCTGGAGATATCAGGGAAGAAGGGAATGAGCATCCATCAAATTTGAGTCCCCACCTCGATCCGGAACCATGTCATCGCAAACATTTCACTAGGTATCCGCATCATTCCGCCTCAAGGATAAGATTCCCTATTGAGAGGAATATCCCCCGTTCTTCGACAGACAGACGATAATCCAAGACTTCGTCCGGGTGTTCCATTCTGAGAGCGAACTACTTCTCGTGATCGAGCGCAATGACGTCCAGCTAGTCAAGCGATACGACCGAATCACTAAAGGCTGGACCAAGATGGAGCTCATTTTGTTGGAGGGATGTGATGGCTGAATCGTCGACAATCAATAAAACCTGTATCCAGGGGTGGCATCAGAGAAAGCCTTCATTGATCTTGAGAAACTCATGCTGAAACTCATTCTAAATCGTTGTTCCTCATTCGGCGCTCGGGAGACTTCGGGTTGGTCTTTCCGGAAGAGGTATCCAGCCGGGGACCGCGCTTTTTTTTCCGATGCATAATCTAAGGATCGCATGAGACCGCTGTTGAATGATCGGAAATCGCCTTCTTCCTCACCTGTTGGTCCGGGAAAATCACGGGAGAACCCCAGCTCAAAGTTTATGCGCTCCCACTCATTGTGGAGTCCTCAAGATTTGGACTCGGGATGCGAGCCTATGCGGCCTCACAGTGATGGGGCCGGCCATTTCTTCCCGGTTAGCTCGTGAACTCAATCAGTCGCGACAAGAGGAAGGTGCCGACGGACTAGAGTCAGACCTTGATCCTGCTTCTCTGACGCTCGGCAGACTGTCGCCGAAATTCCCATAGCTCAGACCGGAATACTCGGTGAGCGCGTGGATCCAAGCTCAAATCCGGCCGCTCGCTCGGTCAGCATCCAATCAGTACGAGGAGCGAACGTCGCGAAATAGAAGCAGCTCTCGACGATGTAAAAAGCGCATCTTCCCCCCGGCCGCAGAAAGATACTTTCGGCACGCTGTCTGTCGATGTACGCTTGCCAACTTTGAGGAGGCGTTTCCAACCCTTCCTCATTGGAGCCGTCGACCGGGCCGAAGAAACTCTCTGAGATTGTCCCTTCCGCATGAGTTTCTCCCACACGTTCGTGAAGAGCTGGAGTAATGGAGCAGCGATCCCTCAGTGGAAATTCCAAGTCCGGCGCGTGGAACGCTGCTGTCACTCACTCCCCTGTCCACATGAGTTCAGATTGCAAGTTGTTCCGACACAACCTCTCTCGACTTGGGCGGACAACTTGCCGGTTCTGGCCCTGTCACCTCAATCCTTGCCTCCTGCATCAATCGGTACCCTTTTGACTCCCGACAGTAGCCAACGAATATACATTTCTTGGTCTTCTCATCCCATTTCTTTCTTTTTTCCTCCGGTATTTGGGCGTAAGCTAAGCAGCCGAATACTCGTGGGAAACGCAGATCAGGTTACCGCCCGGTTCACGCTTCTCCCGGACACAGATCTCGGAGTGCTGCCGTCGGGCTGACATTTTTCAAGTTGCAAGCTGTCAGTACGGCTTCTGCCCAGAAACTTTTGTTCAGACCGATGTCCGTCAGCATTGACCTCTTGTCGACGAGATTTCAGGCGCGCAGGCGCAGTGATTTAGAGCGGGCGCAGAACACTAACAGTATCGGTTCCCGCGGATTCTGGGGGAGAGATTGGACTCTGTAGGGCATCTCAATGTTCATTCGCCACCTCATCACGGAGAAAGCTAGGGGAGGACATCAATCACGACAGCCTATATTTACACTGGATGCCCGACGATGCCGTGAAAGAACTGAGCGAGCTTTCTCAGTGGAAAAATCTGTAGTGGTTTCTAGAATGATTTTTTTGATCGACCCTTTGGGCGTTCCGGACCCCGCTCTCAACGGCGCGGGACCATTCACCATTCGCAGTGTTCGTCAAAATGGGAGAAAAATCGGAATCGTAGGACGAACTCGGTCGCTTCGACTATATTTAATCGGCATTCGTGAAGCGGAGATGACTACAGAACAAGGATTCTCCGACTCGAGCTTCGGAAAGTGGATGAATTGTGGAAATAACAAGGGACGAATCTTTCTGGAGTCTTCCTGGTTTCTATACTTTTCGGACAACAAGAGCACAAACAATGCTCTATTTATCACCTTTGACTCCCCGGGTATTCCGTCGGATTTTTCTTTCACCAGCTCAACATGCACGTGAACTTTCGGCTTTCTTTCCCTCTCATCTTTCCTAAATGTTTCTGATTCTAGGGTGATTGACCGGTCCTGCACGGCCTCGGATGGGAGGACGAATATCACTAAAGATTCGGGGCAGAATTCCTGCAAACCGATGCGGCAAAGAAAGTCCCTAAATTTCAGGGTGACTTAGGATATTCGTGTCGTATCCCATTTCCACAGTGAGGACGGAGAATTTCCTCTCTGAGGTCCACCTCTTCGGAGTTGAACCGCCAGCGTGCTCTTGAATGAATAATATATTCCCCGGGAGACAGAAAAGCCCAGGCAACGGAGCGTACAGCCCGAAATCTGTAGCTAGCCTCCCCCAGGTTTCTTCCTGAATTCGATTGAGTTTTCAAACTTTCCAACAAATCCTTCGGCAAGCAATGAGGTAGATTGTGCGGAGTTCCCATAGCAACGCTGTGTTTTCGGGTGGTGGTGCATGGAGCGAGCTGTTCGTGAGGATAAGAGCGCTGTGGCGGAATCGAGCGAGCAGCGCTAATAGTGACCGTCGTCGTCGTCGTGCTGCTGATGGTGGCGGTGGTGATGGTAGTCGTCATCGTGGTGTTTCCCTTGCCTTAAAGTCTCTCTCAATGTTCTGCCGTGAGAGGGATTGCGTTCACGACACACCGACAGACAACAGGTGAAGCACAAATCTGCCGAAGACGTCAACGTTCTCCGTGGTGGAATGGCGTAGTGTAAAATTTTACCGATCACAAGTTACGAGTTTCACACGAACACACTCGCTGAGCCATAGGGAAATTCAGTGCTCAATGTCTTAGTGGGTTCACAATGGATACGACGTTCTCAGGGGGTTCGGCACCCTCATCTTCTAAGTTCTGTGGAAGACTCCCCGTACTATTGCTAGTTGTCTGTGCTTTCATCCCGGAGCTCACTGTAGCTGTGGATATTCGGAATCAAACGGTGGAATACTACAAATCCGAGACCGAGTATCGGATTCAAGACGATATTCTGGTCGGAGCGGGTGGAATCGTTATAGTGCATCCCGGAGTAACGCTGCGCTTCGAGCCGGGCATCGGAATCACCGTTAAGGAAGGCGGAGTACTCATCGCAAACGTAAGTTCGGTTACCGAGTCAAATGATGCGCGGCGTTTTCGGGATCCCTGCCGGGAATCAGAATCGGAATATCCCGGCATAATGGGAGAAGGAGAAGCGAGTGAAACGAGTCTCCAAAAATGATTGCAAAGAAATCTTGCCTTGATCCCTGTCGCGAATGGCGAGAATCGCCGTCCGTGTCACATTTTCATCCACATCTACCAGAAGAATGAGATATCGGGGAAAAGGTTATCCATATTGTTTGACTTCTCGGATCTGGAAAGCCCTCGGTACTGAGATGAATGGAGGGGGTCGCGTATTCGGCGACTTTCCAATGCGTATCTGATCGATTATCATGGAGAAACGAGGGGTGTCATCTTCATGCGAACCCTTCGGTCGTTTCTAGAAGCTGCACATCGACTCATTCATTGAGTTTTGCGCGAACTGCCATTGAATGCGACACTTGTTCGAAACCATCACGACTTGACGAGACTTCTTCGACTGTATCATAGATTCCGAAATAAAATTGGAAATCCGCGCTCGAATGTAGAGCGAAGGAACCTGATACCGGATTCAACTGCACATTCTGAGGCGGTGCCGCGCCAATTAGGAGCTGATGACTGATAGCTATTCTCGGAGCGGAGAAAATCTTGAGAATTTTTCACGGGATCAAGTGATCGATGGGACTCGGTCCCGCGTTGGGATATCGTATTAGGAAATCGTAGTTGCAAACTTGGGGGATTTTGAAGCTTTCGCCTGCTGAAGAAACTCATAACAAGATTCCCATCGTGAGAGACTTCTCGCGTTGACCCGAAAAAGAAACGGCTACTGCTTTTCTCACATTGGGAAAACGAGGGAACTTTTTGGAAAAGCGTCTTCGTCTACTTCTTGGACTTTTTTTACGCTGAAAATCCGTTATCCCTCACTACGGAAAATCTGCAAGCCAGCCGCTGTGGCTCCAACAAGCCGGGAAGTCCGAGTCGGCATTGGTGACGATTTTCGTTTGCCGGAGGGAGAGAGACGACGACAACCGCTACGTCTTATGGTCCGTACGCTGAAGGATCATTGATTGCTCGCCACTGCGAATTTCCACGGGAACTTTTCACCTCCTCCAGCAGAGCCGTAATACGGTCTTTCTTGTCGTGGCTCAATTGAATAGTTCTCGCAGGAAGCTGCCACATCGGAACTTCGGTAGAGCTTATTCGCCGCCAATGACCCGCTGTCAAACTCTGTATTTCTTTCCGTGGGATAACGGTGTTGGAGCCTCTTTGAAATCCCCCAATTATGGTTTAGATCGCTCCCGTTCCATTACGAGCTCGAGGCCCGAACGGAAGGTTTTTTTCAGTGGGAGTCTTCCACTCTCGTCAACTACATGCGGATGGCCGATTCCCATGGCGAATTAGAGAGATCTCTGTGTCATTGAACAGTTCTCTTAGTCGAGGGTCTCACGTAGTCTGCGCTCGTATGTGGAGACGTCAGCAGAAACAGTCACGTACAATGATTGGAGGCTCCTGCTCATTCTCTTCGTCGTTTCGCTGATGTTCCATCAGGACTCGTCAAAGGCCCCATCCATTTTCACATCGGAAAGGACCTGAAGAGACATTTTCGCACCAGATAATCGGAATTTCCCGGATCCGTCCGTTATCGAAGGCACCGAACGCGAGGTTCCAATCGAGAGGATCGGACTACATCGCGCTGGCCGAGTTCTCTTGTCTCGCGCCACACCTGAACGATTTCGGAATAGATTTTGTAGATAATACCGAGAGGTCACCATGAGTTATAGTACAGCGAGGAAAACAATTTTGTATGGAAGATGAGGCAGTCCCTCGAGACACGTGTTTAGCCGCCACAAGTCCAAGCTGGCAGCATTGTTTATGGCCCGAGGGAATTTTGTCTACCTACCTTCCTTCTTGGTAAGCGGGCTGGCTTGCCTCGTTCAGTCAGTCGCTAGTCAGCCACCCAGCCGCCTTTCCGCCCGTTTGTCCGTCCGTCGGTCCATCGGCCCGACAGGCAGGTTGCCGGCGAGTAAGCGGTTTCGAACTGACGAACATAGCTTAGTCATTCACGACCTTAACGTTGACGCTCAGGTTTCCGTCTAAGACTCGATTGTCTTCCCCGTACCGAGCTCTCCTGGCCGAGAGGCGACTCCGGCGGGCGTGAATATTCCGCAGACAGCTGACAGGGAGTCGAATATTGCAGTGGCACGCGGAATACAGTCCTCAAAACGTTTCGACTCTCGCCGAAGTCGGAAACTCGAGCCATCGAGAGACGGCTGTCGAGAGTCTGCGGGTCGAATTCCGATTTGGGGGCGAAAAGTCGACGACGCGATTTAAAAATTTCTAAACGCTATTTCATAATTTCGAGAGGATGGCGTAACCCATGACTGTCTACGAAAATCATGGAAGTCTCCCGGTCTCCCGAGGGAGATTCCATCCCTTCATCAATCTCAGAGGACTTGAACCTAGCAAATAGCAGAGAGCGAAAAGTCAAGCGCGAGTCATGGATCGATCCTCAATTCTGGCGAACTCCGGACCGTTAGAGGCTTCCGAGAACTCGGAAGAGCTCTGAAAGGCGGAACACGTTTTTAACATTTATCAATCGAGATCGAATTCGGCATTCCAAGAACCACGAAGCGTAGCTTCTCGGGAAGATTCAATACATAGAAGAATTATTCTGGAGTGATACCAACTCCATAGTATTCGCATCTCTCCCCATTCCATTCGATGGATCATTTTCCCCACCGGAAGGAGCGACATTGTCGGATTTTCGGCCTGGATGAGCAGCTCAGGGCGAAGCACAGCGTGCCTGCACATAGATACCGCGATCCGAAAGTCCGTATCCCTTCGCCGATTCTTTAGTCTTCCTTCCACGGAATGACCTCCTCATCGCAGTTCACCTTTCGCTCCGTATAAGTTTGCCGGAGAAAATCGATCATGCCCAAATCATGTCTGTGGGGTTGAATCAGATTAAGTGTACAGCTAGTATCTGATTTGCTATATGGCAGCCCGCACGACAAAGCGTACATCAAGATTTTCATTGACCGCCCGGTCAAGCGGCTAGTCGACTCGGGCGGCTCAGACGGGTCACCACATTCCGCTGAAGTCGTGTCGGCACACGAATTTCGGTCTCACATTGTGTTCCGACCAACGACCATGCACGCATTCATTTAATTTCTTCCCGGCATATTCTTGGAGTGAACCTCCCACCCCCCTCCAGCGTGAACAGATTAGAGAGACTGCAGGAATCTGCCGTTTGACGATGACGTGAGGAACGGGAAGATCGCATCAGCGATGAATCGAGCTCCGAAGTCGAACTCAGAGCCGTGGAAATCCAGGCAGAGCATGGGAGAATCACTCCAGAGATGAATTGTTTCCCGCGTCGTGAGGCATCGCGTCTGAATCCGCGCCCGCCTGTGATTTTCATCTTCTCGGCTCAGATGTCGGCCCAGTTTGTCGGCTGCAAATGTAATTCTCCCTTCAGTCCACTGTTGTCGTCCGCGAACCTTGATTGAACTACATCACGAAGCCATGACCGGGCGAGGTTCTCCACTCTTTTTGTCCTTCCAAACTCACGCCCTCAGCTCATGAGAACTAAGCAACGAATGTCGACCGACAGCAGCGGCTGTCATTTCTGGAGTAAATTTTGATTCGAGCTCTGTCCTTGCACGCTATTTCTCGTCTTTCGCTGTATCGTTTCCCGTCACGTTTGCAATAAGGACGGCCGGTGACGTGAGGTGTTTAAAGGTCCGGGAAGGGTGTTGCTGATGTCCAATTGTTCCTAAGATCGTTCCTGATGGCATTTCCTCAGAAAACTGAAATTCCAATTGTGGCTAGACCCGAACGAGACTATTCACGCGTCGAGTATTCATAGCCTAACGTTAAGGCCGAGAATTGAATGTCCAAACTGCCAAACTGACAGCCGGCTATCCTATGGAGTCCAGATTCCCGCTCACCTCAGGATCGAGGAGTATTTGAATTTCAAACTTGAGCAGGAGAGCGACCTCTCGACAGAAACCGTAAATCACTCCGCCGGCTCGTCGCGAAGACCGAGCACGTAGAGACGACAGCCTGGCGTCGTGGAAGATGTCTTTTGAATAGTTGATTCGTTCTTTTGTTTGCGCCGTCGAATATCGTTACTTGGCAAGAAAAAAAACGCCAAGAGAGGAAGGAAGCGATCCGACTCGAAGCACGTTGGCAAGCGACATCGTTGGCCAGACTCGACAATCGTTGCTGACAATAGTTTAAAATCACTTGTGCTCATCCGTGGGGGGCTTCGACCCAGAACACCCGGTGGAGACATCGGCGGCGCTTCACTTATAAGCGTCTGAAGCTGTGGATTCTTTTGAGAAAATCGTCCCAACGCTTCTTCGCCGGTCGAGATGGGATGATTCTCAGGTGGGACAGCAGACTAGCGATCCCAGAAATTTCCGAAAAACCTTCACCCGTCTGATTCTAGCTCCTCTAGCGAGGGAATGCGGACGGGAACAGTGTAGGAAATCCGTTCTACAGCCGGCTCTGATTGGTTCCAGATTTGTAGACGACACGCCACTCTTGACATTTCGTATGTCCGCAATCATTCGGAATCTCTTGTTGTGACGGGGAGGGTATTGGATTTGCAAGCGATACCCAATCATCGAGAGCGCATCGAGTCGCAGTTATCTGTCTCGGAGTTTTCCAAGTCTGTCACACATTTTGGCTGTCGCGAAGAGATATGTTTATCTCTCTCAGAGTCTCGCTCCGAGCAGATGCGGGCCAGTGACCGCCGAGAACGGCAAGAATCCTTATCAGACACCGCGAAAGCTTCCCAGGCCAAGATGTTCCCGGCCCGTCTTGCCGGCGGATAGCGGGAGGGACGAAACCGTTGGGACCATGATCGTCCATCTCCCGCGAAAATTTGAACGCGTAGAGATAATATCGAGAGGAATCGATAATGGCGAAATCATGGAACTGCGCTTCTGGAGCATTCGGAATATTCTCGCCAGGACTCGGTAGGTCGGATTCCCCTCTATGTTGGAACGACGC